GCCCATGTCGACTTCAGTGCTATTTCGTCGCAGATATTGGCGGAAACTCGCCAAAAAAATTGCTGTGTACCTATTTCAAAAGTTACCCAAAATAGGTAAGACGTCCCTCTGTCACTGAACGCAGGCCCTCCTTCACTGCCCTCACCGTCTTCAGAATATGACGTCATCTGTCACCGTCGTCGAGCTCAAGGAGGCCTACCGTAACTGCTTCAGCCTGAAGCTCTTACATAATTTCTTGAATCGATTCAACTGTTGGATAGTTTCCTAGAGACATTAGCTCTGACTATGCAAACCAACTTCGAGACAACATCGTAATGGTACACGATTGAGCTGGTCGAGCCATTGAGCTCGACCAGTGCCCCATGCTTCTGGGGCAAATTTTCCTGATGCCCAGTAGAAGGTCCCTATGATTTCCATAAAATGGAATGTGCTCTTCAATTTTAAGTTGGAATCATTCGGTTTGAATTTGGCAAAATGTGATCAAATCAATTTGAATGTGAAGACAAAATGTCTTTTTTTATTGCTCTCCCCCTGTAGATTCCCGAGAGCTATTGTCTGATTCCTCAATTGCATCATCCTGGCTGGTCAGGTCCATGCAGTAAGGTTGAGGCACTGCCTCAGCCACTAACCGATTAGATCAACACCGCACAAATGCTGTTGTATACGACTCCGGGTCTCAGATTCAGACCACTTTTTGAGAAGGGCCCAGCTCCAGTCAAAGTGACCGATCTCCACGATGCTTTAACTGTTACAGAAAGTGCTTCATCGAATGGATGCCCCGTATGGATCGTGCAGCGATACGTTCCGTCCAGAGCGATACATCTACGAAGAGCATTACTCTCCTGAGGTACTCTACTCTTGTGCTTCTCATTTTGTCGCACGTCCTTGCTCTCTCTAGAAATGCAGTTTGACTATTTCAGGGTTGCCATCGAAATTGTTTCCAATTGAAGGTGCTCGACCAGTGCGGTTGTGGCGATCCGCGATTTCCACTTCCATCCGAAGAAAAGCGATACTGCAGTGCGAAAAGTGTCGCTGATAGTTAGTTCCACTTCGCATTCATTCTCGAACACCTGTTAGAAAGAAGCCAAAATCCATTAAGGACAATGCCTATCGAACCTGATCAGCGCCTCAGGCGGCTACCACCACCTTCAGCTTGAGTGCGACTGTCAACAGCCATGTACGGAAAATGTCTTCGAGACTGCCTACTCAGCAGCTGCATGGCCATCTGTGAACTTTCAAAATAGGTTCGCGATTTGCGCTGATGCTCATTGAGTGCGCAAAACTCTATTTTTTACCTTCGGTTTCTATCTCTAATTTTTCCTTGTTCCCCAGATTTTCATCGTTTCCATAGGGTTGAGTTCCTAGAAGTTCAGATGAAGAAGCTTCAAAGTAAGGTAGTGAATCTGGGCTAGCACATGTTTTATTCTAGTTCCACTCCATATCTGATTGTTCCCATTATTTAATAGCATTGACGACAGCGCGCGTTTTGAGTTTTTCGGTCGCGTGGGACAGGCGCGATTTTGCGGGCGGCCACTCACTTCACACATTCCTAGATTTTGCGTGATAAATATGCAAGAGAAATAGTGTAAAAGAATTTCGAACAATGTTCAAGCATGAACATACGCAGAGGTCTCTAATAGAATTCTGATAAGAAGGAAGTGCAATGACAATATGAAGTACACATATTTTACGCGATCATCCTGTAGAAAAAATCGCAAGTATTTTTGGGCTGATTGTTTCTGTAGGAACATAATCTGAAAAATTTTCAAGGCTCGGAAAACCACTGCTAGATCGCACATATTTGACTGTACTGCAAACTACCTTGTTGATATGCGAGAAAAAGGATAAACTAAAGAACTAACTATAAAATCGAAACTTCTGTATGAACGCAAAGATGCAACTATATTTAGAAGAAAGTTCAACCAAAAACGTGGGGATTCCCACTCAGAGCGTGCATAGAGGCTTCAAGAAAAGGAATGTCTCGAAGACAAGGGTCGAGATCGCGTTGGCTGTCCACGGCGCTCAAAAATGACTCACAGATATGGATTGTAACTCTAGTGAAGTAAAAGTGGAAAGGAATCGTTGGCAAAGCCAAAAAGTTAAAGACCTGTTCTCTCCTCAACAGCAGCGGATTATCCTTGCATGTGCGTGACCAGACGAGTTTTTCCAATGGAAAGGGTTGGCCTGGCTTCCTATACCGTTAGTTAGGTGGACATCTCGAATCTATGGTGTGCTTGGTTCGGGCATATATTTCACATTCATCGTTTCACCTGGGGCCTTGTTACTTTCAGATGTATAGGGAGCTGCACTTGCAGAGCTTGCAGATGGCTTATGTACTGATGCAGCTTTCGAGAACAGATCT